ACATATTTATACTTCTGTCCTGCATTAGTCAGGGTTTCTGTCTGGAGCCCGTAACCTTTAGTCAGGTCTGGGATCTGCCTGGACTTTCTACAGTTGTACTGGAAGACAGATTCCTCCTGACAGACCAAAAAGCTTTGGGGAGAGGTAGGGAGGTTTTTGTCCTTAACAGGATAAAAGTTTTTTATCCGTAACAGGATAAAGTCTTCCCACTTCATAGGTGCCTAGCTTCTGCTTGCAACAGTACCTCTTGGCTTCACGGGGCTCATGCGGCAGAGGAAGGTGTCAGAGCCTGCAGCACATCAGGTGAGGGACTGCTAGTCTGTGCTGAGCCAGGGAATGTGCTGGCAGAGGGGCAGAGAAACATGGAGGGGAAAAATTCTCCTTGGGAAGACACAAATCATCTGTGGTGATCCCTAAGGAAGGAAGACACTGATGTGCTGGAGATTTAGCTGCACTGAAGTTCGCTGTCATCCAGCATTGCCTCAGCCTCATTCCTTCTGATCTCCCTTGCACACAGGTAAAAACTTGTGGGTTTATCCATAAATTTACAGTATCATAGAAGATATTGTGAATTCTGCTGGCTCACACCATAGGATGGTGCACGACAGACACCTTTCAGTGGCAACACCACCCTGAAGTATGGCTCTTCCAATGCTCCTGCCCACCCCCAGCCTCAGCCTCCTGCTCGGCCCCTCTCCCAGCGCAGGAGCTCCTGGTGTGACTTGGCCAAGGGGCCCACCTCATTTGGAGAAACTCTGCAAAACGAGTAATTCTTACTGAGGCTGGGCCAGCACAGCCTGCTGGGTGAGGGATGGCATGGTGCAGGACGGGATCAAGCAAGGGGAGCAGGAGAGGGGGCTTCTGAGCTGGCACTGCCACTTAGAGGAATGCCTGGCCCACCTTCTCCTTGGGGTACAAGTTCACCTGTGTGGTCTAGGAGCATACAACCCATTGCTGTCAACAGAGATTTTTTGCTTGAGACCCATGCTCCTGTCATTGAGAAGTAGCTAAAATATCTCATATAAAATCAAAATTCACAACAATGAAAAGTTAGTTTTATCTTTTCAAGAGCAAGGACTCTATAGAAGCCTTTCAGAGCACCTAAAGCTTCAGAAAGGCCACTGAAAGGAATATTCTAGGATTTAGATGCACAGCAAAAGACAAGCCTCATCCAAACACTCCCACTAACTCTAGGTGATGTTGGACCAGACCCACATGTGAAATGTAAGCAAAATACGCTCCGAGTCCTTCACAATATAGCAGATTACAGCAAGAATGGTTTTTATTTATAAAAACTGGGGTTATAACAAAAGGACATTAAGATTCCCAAGGCCTTCCTTTCCTCCTCTCCAGACATTCAGGGGAAAAGGCAGAAAGACTGTTCTCATGTGCATGGTTACATCACCTCCTCAGCAAACACGTCTACACATTTGTTTCTTCAGCATAAAACTAAAATGATCAGAGAAACATTTTCCTTCCAGTGTTTGCATTCTATTTATTTCCTGTTGCTACCTTTGTGCCTGCAGCATAGCCAGTGTTCCCTGACCCCAGAATCCACTGGGTTTGCATCTGCTGCCTACCTCCTCCAACCCCAGGGGACTGCGCTAGAGCAGCTCTCCCTTTGCAACTGGTAGTCATGAGATTGCTTCAGAGTTGAGGTGAGCAGGCAGAAAGCTGGAAACACAAAATAGGGGCTCCAAACTGGGACAGAATATACCATTTCAGTTGTGTTTTCAGCAGATGTTTAAGGAATTTGAGCTTTGAGCTATCTCTTTATGAGTTGATATTATTATTATTATTATTATGAGTTTCTCCATTGTTATCTTAATTTCTGTGTTGTCTTCCTGATTTTTAATGGAAAGAAAAATACTGAGAGGTCATTGGCAGATTCAAATTAAGCTTTGAAAGTAAGCAAATAGTTGCAGAGATTTATTCACCAAAAAAAATATATAAGCAACTTCTTGGGGAAAAAACAGAAACCAAACCTAACTGCACATATCTAACCAAGGCAACCTCACAATCCTGTCATTCAAAACTTTACTGCTGTTTCCTCATTGCTAGTAGCATCCCTTTCTGTATCAAAAAAAGGCAACTGCTTCTGTACCAAGATCAAGGACTATAAATTTTCACATTCTGGGGCACTATAAGAATCATAAATAACAATTTATTGAATGAATCTCACTTCACTAGGCATGACTTTCCCAAACTTGTATAATGTGTGAAATTATTTATTGCTCAGAAACCTGTTAAACAGGCAGCCACAAAAGCCCATTGCATTGCATTGCTTGGAGCCTAAACCTCAACATCATTTATTTCTAAGCTATTTTTTGGGTACATGCAGAAATCAAAGCCTTGTAAAATCTTTTTAATTTCCTGCTCTCATTCTTTGGGCCCACAGACTGGACCTGTAAGATATTTCACTTTTTTTTTTCCCTGCATTAAACTCCTTCAGTTTTGGCCATGATGCCCACAAACAAAAAGCACGTCACGCAAGGCCAAGGTTCCAAGACAGACAGTTATTAGCTCAAAGCTGGAGTGTTTCATTTTAGACTTCATCCCCGTTTAAACCACAAAAACCTCAGTAAGCACTGAATTTTAAATCCACTGTCACTTTCTCCAGGCCTTTGTCAAAGGACTCATTTTTAGTTTCTATTTTACAGCACCTCCTAGATCCATCCCCAGGCTGAGAGGGGCCACACTGTATCAAGCAGAGCTGTGGGCACACACAGAGCAAGAAGCAGTCTCTGTCCTGGAGCATTTAACATCCCAGACAGACCAGACAAAGGATGAAAAAGAGGAGCTATGTTTCCAGCACGTGTCACACAGCAGGTCAGAGGGTTCACCAGGAGAGGTCAGGATTCACAGGTCCTAATCCAGGGCCTTATCTACCACATCAACTTTTGTCATACTCCTTTTAAACAAAACGAAAGTATATGTGTGTAACAAAAGGCACATGTGGATATAATAAAGTATAGGAATATAAACCTTTCAGTGAGAAAGGTTCTGTCCTTTCTTACAGAAGCAACCACAAAACCTCATAAGCCTCTTGGATCCATCTGTATCCTCTCCTTTCTAAAAGTACGTGCTAATGGCCCCTAACCTGACAGCCCCTAACCTGTCACAACAGAATCAACAGTTTTTGCAGGAAAGTGCAATGTCTGGATATGTGTTTACCAAGAGGAAAAGGCTGGTACTCTGTTTCTGTGTGCCAAAAGGGAGAGCAGCAGTGCTTTGCCTGTAAGCAGGACTCTCGGCCGCTGCTCTGACGTCCGCAGGACCAGGCAGCTCTCAGGAGAAAGGTAACTGCACGGGCAAGCCTCAGCTGTGAGCTGCCAAACCGGAACATTATTACCAAGCAGTAACCGGCAACTCCGAAGCAGAGCGACAGCTGGCAGCAGCGCAGCACGGCCCTCATTTTCTCTGTACCTTTTCTGTGATTTTCCACTGAAATCCTTGTACCATTTGAAGAAACACAGACCTGTGTCATTCTGAGTTACAGTCAGACTTGTGAGTGACCCTTAATACTACTAAATGAACGGTAACCCAGAAACAGAACGATGTAATTTAGCATGCTACAGAAAAAAGAATCAGAAGGAACATGCCAACAGTATTTTCAAAAGCCACTTGCCCCAACATTCATGGTATGACTCACATATCTCCTAAAGTACTGCAGAAACCCTGGACCAGCTACACAATTCTCACCAGGCGTTTATGTGAAATTAAGTCATCCCAAATGGTCATTCAAACTAAGGGTTACTGACAAGGAAAGGGATGAAATAAAATGTTTCTGTTGTTCAAGACAACAAAAAAGTTTGCCAAGGAAGTAACTTTATAACCTGAGAAGAGTCTGCAGCTTTAAGAAATTCTCCCCTAAAGGTTATAAAGCTTTTACTATGCAAAGTATTTTTGCTATTATATACACTGGCGGCCACTAAGTGCAGTTATTATTTCTGGCGGTCATTCAGAGAAGGTCGAGGCTGATAAAGTGTTTAACAGAGTTTGTTTGGGTAGATCCATCTGTGGTTTCAACCACCCATACAGTCTTCTGTGTCCTTTTAAAAGACACTGGATGTTCCTGAGTCTAATAATTTACAGCCTTTATTTTTATTTTCCATCTTTTGTTATTTATCACACAACAGCAAAGAACATCTTCTTTACAATGTCCATACTTTTCTATATTAATTATACAAGCCTCTAAAAAAGCAATGATTCTTTGCTGCGGGGCAGGGCTGCACCCTACACAGAGCTCCTGTTTCCTAGGTAAAGGCCATGTGGAGTTGTAACCTGTCGCTCTCACTCCTTACACCTTGGGGTGAGTTCATGTTTCAGAGGAGCCGAGGAGGGGAGATGGCAATCAAAGCACAGGGAAATAAGAGGTGTGTTGAAAGGATGTAGGGATGTAGCAAGGAGCCCAAGATGGAGCTTCAAGAAAGGAAGTATTTTCAGGTCATGTGAAAAAATATCAGGAAAAATATCCTGACTAGTTGGGATGGACCATAATAGTATCCTTAACGCTCCCACTAGATGCTTTGGTAGTGCAGGACTTGAAACCTAGCCCCGTTAAAAACTCTGTGCTGCACAGAGAAAACCAAGTGAAGTCTCAGCACCCCACTTCCCTGCCTGGTTGCACTGCATGGCCACAAGATGAAGCACCTTAGTAACAATCTCTGCTGCTGTTTATGAGCACTGTGCTCCAGAAGCTGAAATGAAATATTGGTAGGACTATACTGCTTCAAAACTCTGTGCAGACATTGCTGACTCTAAAGCAGGTGAGTATTGGTATTGCCATTTTACAGATGGGAAAGACAGAACAAGTGGCTTGTAGCTGATGACAAGTGTGTGCCCTACCTGATAGAAATAACTTCTGATGATGTAAAAATTATTTAAATGCTACATTGAGAGGATCTTCACTTTTGACAAACATGAACATTTCATCAAGCTTTTTGTATCCAGAGATAATACTGTCTTGAATGCGTGATTCAGGTCCCTTTGCCACTTACCTGAGCTTATCTGCTACAAAAATGACACGCCGCTCTAACAGGAGAGAAGCAAAGATCCTGATGATCTGACGAATACTGAGGCACTTGAAAAGGCATTCAAAGTCCACATGTTCCAGGCGTGAGTCCATGGGCCGCCGCAGCTCAATGACCTGAACACATCCAAAAAACATCAGTCAGCATCACTGGCTGGGCTGACAGCGCCAAGGGCACCCGGCTCCCAGCCTGGGCCCTCCAGCACCGCTCCACGCTTTTCCGTAGGGGGAACACAAAGAATGACCCCCACCCCCTTTTGCAAACTGAGGCTGGAGGCACAGCACTCCAGAGAAATGGTGTATTACACAACTCACTATCAAGTCATTCTTCCCAGGGTACAGCTGTGTGCATTAAACCTGCTGTCATTTCCGAGGAAAGCACAATCCTGCTGCCTTAAACACCTTGTCACACATGTGAAGCTTGGCTGAGTCAACAGCATGAAGCAAGTAACAAACTGGAAACACCGGAGTTGGAAGCTTATGGGGCTAAAGCAGCCATAAAGACATGGTAAATTTGGTAATAAACTTGGCTAGCAATTCAAATTCACATCTAGGTAGGAGCTATGGACCAAACTTACAGGTCAGGCAAAATTTAAACACAATTTACTTCATTTTCACTCATTTGATGCATAATTCACTAGGTGTTTAAAACCTTTTTTTTTTTTGTCATAAAGATATGTACACATGTATACTTAACTGGGGAGTCAGGACAAGGTCTTAGATGGTGACTTGTGACATCCCTTTAAAGTCTAATTTTCATACTTCATCCATGACCTCAGGCCCTTTTCTCAAATGCCTTTTGCTTGATTCCTTTATTATATCTTCCTGTAACTCTGCAATTGACATGCTCAGATGTGGAACTTGAAGGTGGAGGACAGAAAACAGAAGAGGGAAAAACAACATGAAGAAGAGAGAAACAGAGAGAGAAAAATACGAAGTGCAAGACAGCAAATGACGAACTACTGAGGATTTTGAGGAAACAGAAGGGAAAGTGGAAAAGTTGGCCAATTTGAAGCTGTGTTGAAATCTCTGAAGCCATACTAACAGGAATATATATGCATCTCCTTCTTTCCACGTCCCCGAAAATCACCGTTGCTTTATTGCTTTAGACCACTTTTATGTTTTCATGCACGTGACAGCACATTCCACGAGCTTACTGTATTGGGTTTACACTGGAGCAGCCCTTGCAAGATTCCTCACAAACACACTGCTTTAAGGATATGATCAAGATCACAGGATACTGGAAACAAAACCAGTTCATACCAGTTTAGTTGTAACGTGGTTTGTGACCAGTAACACTCGCTCCTCATAATCAGTAAAGGTGCCCACTTCCATTCCTTAGCACTGGGATTGCAAGCTCAGATCATGACTATGTGCCAAACCATCTGGAGCTGGGTTTACTGCAAAACTTCCAACGCTAAAATCTTGCTGCGGGGTAGGATACAATGCAAGTTGCGGCAGCTTTTACAAATGCCATGGATGTTTTCTGTTGCCTGGCAAAGCCTTCTGCTTCAGTCTGCTCATCACAAAGAAACATACTGTCTACTTTCCAATTAATCATCGTCTTTGTTTAGGCCAGGGAAGACACAATGGAAGGACAAGATTCTGTTCCTAATTAAGCCAGCACATTCCATTTAAATAACGAGTTTGTACTAGCATAACAGAGAGCAAAGCTCAGCCAGAAGAGAGTTGTTTGTTTGTTTGGAATTATCTCAGTGTTTTTCTCTGGGAGAGTGCAGAAGCTTGTGCAGATGACAGAGAACTTGCAGACCCATGGTTCCCAGATATAGTCACATCAAAAAATTATCAGATCTTACCACAGTTATGCCAGTCAGCCTTTCAGCTTTCCTTTGCTTCTTGAGAAGAAAATGCTTGTGACTTAAACATGCCTTGCAAGTGACTTATACAAGGAAGCCTTTACATTTCATACCAAGTGACATTACCGACCCACTCCACTGAAGCCAGAGGCACTTGGAGAAAATATGATTCAATGTAAAAATAGTAATAACACTGTCAAACTAACCCTAAGGACTGCAAAATAACCCTAGAGGGGAATCTTCTTCCTGCTTTCACAAACTGGGCCAAATTCTGCTTCTACCTGCAATAACGTATTTTCTCTATATGCTTGACCACCTGGCTGGAGCTACTGTGTACTTACACAAGGACATGCAGAGAGCGGAATTTGACATGGCAAATGGCTAGCAAGCCTCAAATTACAAAAAACTTTTTAAGCAAGGCACCAATATAGCCATTTTCCAGTACAGCATATGTTGAATAACGCTAACCTTCTAGCTACTTGAGTCAGTACTAAAAGGAAATGAAAACTATTATATGTGCGTGTACACACACAAAAAAGCTTTTATATGACATGCTTTTCCAAATATAGACTGCTTCTTTGAGGGCCAGTTAAAGGGTATTTATTACCAAAAAGAGCCATTTAAATGCTGTTGGTCACTCCTCCTACCAAGGCCAGGAGCAGCAGTAATGAGGTTTGCAATAACAACCAGCTTTTGAACCGTTTAAGTACAGGCAGCATGGGAAACTTACACTTGCTTCTTATCACTGTGATAAAGCCCAGCACCACTGCAGTCTGCTAGCTACACCAGGCCAGGCGTACTAGGACATGTGTAGTGCTTGTGGGTTTTTGTTAAACACAACTTATTGATAGATGTAAAACAACAAATACATAACAACAAATTGGCTTATAATCATCCATGGGGACTAGCATTAGCATATTGACACTGGTGCAGGCCCTGCACTGCTCATTTCGAGGGTGTGTCACCTCACATGCCTTGCAGTATCCATATGTCTCCTCCTGTTTTTCTTTGGCTGTTTGATATTGGAGCGGTGAGTGAGGTGGTTTTGTCTTTTAATGTCTGCAGTTGCTTTTTACCTCGTTTCCAGCTCCAGGCAAAAACGTTTTGACTTTGATTGTCTTTCCAGGTGCAGGAAAAGGAGATTCCATCAGACTCCTCATAAATGGGTAAACCAGGGCAGCAGATATTCCCCTTCTCCTTTCAACCTCATCCAGGATCTAATCCATTAGTAAGACACAAGAGAGAAAGAGACAGAACATGTCAGCACCACATACACTTTTGAAGCATCTTTCGACCCACATGTGCCTAAACACATGGCGGAGCTAAGCTTAATTCTCCTCTGCCACGTGTTTCTTCACTACCTTTAAAGCCACGGGATTCAATCATACTCTAAAAAGTATGTTTTCCAGTTACAAAATGGAGTCTGTTTGTGAATGCAGTTAACAGAGAAATAAGGAAGAAGTAACAAATCTGGAACGAAGAAAGAAGACTCCACTATGGCAGAAGGTACCTACATTGTTGGGATTTTGCCTGAACAACAGAGAGAGCTGAAGGAGAGAAAGAGCAAGACAAATCCAATAATCACAGGCCAGGTCAGCATCATGTTCCGGTGGTACATCTTGGAATTTGTACTAAGGAGAAACATTTTCTTCTGCCCTGCGTATCTCTTCTATTTCAACTGAGAGGGCAGGAAAAAGCCAGATCAGCAAGAAAAACAACACTGCCACGCTCTAATACCAGCAGAGGTCCATCAGGAAAGAGCCTCTGGAAGAGTCCCGGCCGACGGCAGCAGTCACGTCGCAGGCTGGGCTGGAGCCAGCTGTGAGCAGCCTCCTGAAGCTTGCCCAGCTGTTTACACTGGGTGCCTGCATTAAGGTCATTTTCTGTTTGACATGACGCAGAGCAGGCAATCCAGTTTTGAAATAAGCAGATGGAACTTCTTACAGATAGAGAGGGCTATTATTTTCTTCTCTCTTTGGTCACATGGGCCAACATAAATTAGCTCACAGCTAAGTTTTCCCACATTAGACAGACCATATAGACGATAAACCTAAAGATGAGCAAGCAAGCTTCAAAGCAGTTAGTGGTTTGACCTGAAATGGTGATCTTTTAACCACCACTCAAGAGCAAAAGGCCATACAAGAGTTAGGGAGTCTGAGCCAGGCATTCTCCCTTGCTTCTCTTGGAAATGCTTTTCACTGAAACAGAACATTAAAAGAGAGTTAAGCACAAGCCGGTGACTTACAACGATAGCTAGTGACACTAAATGCCAACTGAGGTATTCACTGGTGCATAGTTTCTCCTTCCTCTTTGCAACATAGTAAAGACTTAACTAAAGCAAATCTGACCCTATATATATACACAGCTTGCAGTCCAGTCCATGGAAGTGGCAGATAACCACAAATGAAGATATGAATTTCACTCTTGATGTAATTTGGAGCACAACAACTATCCTCATCAAACAAAACCAGCTGCCCAAAGGGGAAGCAGTAAAGAACCAAGGCTGTGTCCTGGGTCCCTTAGTGCTCCTGCACGCTGCCAGCACACAGCTGCAATGTGCCCAACACACAGCCGCATTTCTGCAGTCACTATTTGATGCTTTATGTTACTTGGAGCTGGGGGCCATGTGTGTCACATCCTTGTCCCAACCACCTTCACAATACAAATGAAAAGGAGCATTTAAATCGAACAAAAATTAAACAGAGATCTCAGGAGATAAAGTGGTCAAAAACATCTGTTGAAACCACGACTAAGTGAACTGCCTGGAAACAAAGATATCTGTAGTTCTCAAGCCTGTCTTAGCAGCAGGTATCACAACAGTGAGCACAGAATGCTTTGAGGAAGATGAAAATAATGCAGGCTATCAGAATGAGGACAATAAACATATTAAAACACTTTTACAAGTTAAAACACAGGACTCCTTTTGCTTTTCTGATAAGTAATTCTTAGAAAAGAAGAATGTTTGTGACTCTGGAGCTAACTGGCAGTTAATTTTTCTAAGCTGTTCAGCCCCTCAGTTCAGCTGCAATGCCCTGCTTATTGTCTTGAAAATTTTGTGTTAAGAAATGTATTTCCTAGGTCAACGACATCAGCATACAATGCAGCTTTGGATTCATTAACGTGGAGGACATTTAAAAGATTATCTATGTTTTCCTAGCCTCCTAGGATAAAAAAAACCCTATCAATAGAGCTAAGCATATAGACTTCACTTATCAAATAATCTCTTCTTTTTAATCTCATAATTCCATGGAGTATTGGAGCAAAAGTGGTACCAGCCCATCATTTAAACTGCGGATGCCAAGAATTACGGCTCAGCACAGAACGGCTTTAGAAAACAATGGAAAAAACTTTGGTCAGCCAGATCATACAGACGCCCAGATGTTTTCTAAATCAAGTTCTGCCTCAGTCACAGAAGTAATAAGACATTCTTTGATGAACCCAATAATAGGGATGGAATATCCAAAACAGCAACTGTAAAATAGTTATCTCCCATCAGAGGAAGAAATTCTTCTTGTCTGGTTCATCACTGTGGATGTGTCTCAGTAAACAATCAAATTAAAAAGCAATATTGAAAAAAAAAAATCTTCTTACCTTGGAAAATAAGTCAAAGCACCCTAGCCGGCTGATGACACAATAAACTTCAGGTAGGCGTGGGCCTTTTCCACTTGGCTGATAACAGTAAAAAGGAGATTGAAATCGCATATTAATTTGGAGTCACAAGGAAATACACTTCTCTTTCTGATCACACAGTCATTCATGATGTGACATATTTCACTATCGGCTTCTCCACTAAAAGAGCTACTCTTGGAAAAGCATAAAATTTCTTCCATGAGACAGGAGACTAAAAAGTGTAAATAGTGCTTATCCATTTTGAAAATCAGAGTGCATCTGAGCTGTGTTCCAATATCACTGCAGCTTGCAGCCATAAACGCACATTTAACTACAACAGCAACTCAAGTCTGTGCTATTGTTGTCCTCTGCTCCTGCTGCGGCACAAGGAGTGGGGCCACGTGCTGGAAGATGAGAACTACGATGCTAAGGGATGTTATTATGGCTTTAGTTCCCCACTCCCTCTATGATGTTCAAAGAGAGCTGAACTTTTAAAAATCAAGCTCACAGACCTGAACAAAGGCAAGTTGCATGAACTAAGTTCCTCAGATTAATGCATGGTAAACACGATATTCTTAAAGAACTTAAACAGTGCAAGTACAAATCAATGCTGCACATCTCCTCCACCCTACCGCTTCCAACAAACATCCAAAACTGTAAAGACCATCCTCTATAACCATCCTGTTGAAGCTACTTCCTAGAGAAGCAAATGATTTAAAAATTGGTGTGACTGACATGACAACGTCCCTCATGGGACTCTGCAACCCGGCCTGTACCACTGCAGGAGAGGTCTCTCAGCATTGTGTATGAAAGAAGGGTACAGCCACTGGCTGGATTCACTTTATTTACTGGAAAAGAAGTAGCATCAGGCCAATGTTAAGCACTTTAGAAAAGCCATCCTCAAGAGTGACTGTCTGCCTGTGTCCTGCATGCGTACAAAGCATGCAGATGGCAGAGACATACATGCAGAGCAGCTTCCCACTGTATTTTTAATAAGCTGTGATGCAGCGTTGCAGTTTTGTGTAGTTGCAACTGATTTTCACCAGATCAGCACACAAGCACCTCGTAGGGGCTGTTATTTTAACAAGGAAGCTTGTTGACTTTAGATGCAGTCATGTGCAGTCCCAAGGTCCAATGCAAGGAACTCCCAGCACTGCCTCGTCCAGGAGGTACATCCATCGCGGCACAGCACGGCTGCAGGTATGTCAGCAAACCCCAACATCCCAGCAGCAAAAAGCTGAAAGCAGAGTCTGAGACAACAGGCGAGGCTGCTCTCTGCTTCCTTGCATCACATGGAGTCAGCTGTGCTTGTGCTGCACGGAGTGAAAAGTGGCTGTAAAAGAATCACTTGGCATCACTTGGCCTCTTTGTGCAGCTGTACGTTATTGATATGCAGTGGTGACAGAATCATCTCCATTAATAACAACTCTGTGATAAAGGAGCTCAGTCACTGTTTCCATTAGCGTCTGCCCACTTCTACATTTAGCCAAAGTGGCTGATCTTCTCCTCTGTATCCGCATAGAAGGCCACCACTCTGCTGATACAGTGATTAACTTCCCCACGGTGTGTTTGACGTTTACATGCCACACAGATGTCAGTCAAGAGAACCTGAGGGGTAGCTGTGCCTTTTAAAACCTGAATATTGCATTCTAGACTTGGACAGTCAGCAGGTGCCTGCCTGTTATAATAAAGACCACAAAAAAATACCAAAGCTAAGTGAATACAGATGAGTCTATTTCTGGATCCAAACCTGCTCACTACACGTCACATCTCTGAAAAAGCAGGGCCCTTTTTTGTCCATATTAGGTATAAAACCCTTTCTAAAGGCACTGAGTGATTATATCAAGCATGTGGGATTTTGGTTAAAATCATTGTGTCAAATCTGCAGGAATGCCGAAGCCATGCCAGGACCCTTGGATAGCTCCCAACCAAGAGCTGTCTCACTGAGTGCCAGTAAAAACATCACATTCCTGGGTCATCTACAAGACCAGAAACAATAACTACTTCGCACTTACTCAAAGATTCTGCTTTATGAAATATCATTGCTTTCAAATGACTTAAAAGCCATACGTCTGAGAGCTGGGATTCTTCCCTCCTTGCACTCATTGTATAGGACATCCTTTTCTGTTATTTCAGAGACTTTTCCCTGCAAACAGCACCACCTCCCAGATGCATATAGATCTGTAAATCTCTCAGAAGCAGCAAGCATAAGCCTCAGGCAGAGCCACTCTGAGGGGCAAGACTTCTCAAATTTCTAACACTGGCAAATCTTCACATAACCTTCCCTCTCAACTATTAGTTTACACCTCAAAGCCGGATCTAAACCACCTGCTCATTGTGCTTCAGTTCGCTTCTTCCCCAGAAAAACATCGTATGGGACGTGACACTGCTCCCTTCTCTGCTTGACTCATCTCTCTTCACAGGGGGGTCTTGGGCACTGGGTCTGGTCAACAGTACTAATTTAACCTCCTCTCCTCCCAGAAGAGAGTGCTTCCAAGTTGCAGGCTGTGCTCTGTAGGGTAGCTACAAAGCCTTGGAGTCATGACCTCCAAGGCTTGCTCTTCCACAAAATAAATAGATCGGTGTAGGGAAGTCATGTGGAAAAGCAGCACAGCTGAGAGGCATCTGAGTGATTCTGCCCTGATGCACTGCAATCCTCCTGGAAGAAGAGGGATAGAGAGAAGGATGTTTTGGTTTTGTTTTGTTTGCAGTTTGTTTTCATGGAGCCCAGGATATTTTCAGCCTCAGTCCAGTATCACAAATGAAAAAGCTAATGAGTTTTGTTGATAACAAGGCAGTTTCCCAAGACGACGAATATAAACTGACAAGAACTTGGCTACAAGATGGAGAAGCTGAGATCTGCATCAGGGCTGATGCGCGTGTGGCTCAGGACAGTCTTTTTTATAGTGAGTTTAATCTCAAGTTTACTGATTAAAGCCCACTCCAAAATCTGCTTTGGCAGGAGAAACAGGAGATTTTTGCTCCATAAAATAAGCCTGCCATTTTTCTCTTTCAAATCACACCTCCCTGCCCACGTGTTTGAAATCTAGGGCAGCCTTCAGAGCTCTCCTCCCAGTCTGGCATAGCGCTGAGAATCCCTCGCACGCTGCACGCGCCTGCTTACAAAGCAAAGCAGGCTGTCTCTGCAGTGGGCATACTTGTCAGCCATTCAGACATGTAACTCCAGGGTTTAGGGGTTTTAGGCTACTGGGGAGGCTGTGGAGCGTCAGAAAAGCTTCTCATTTCACAGCTGCAGAAATAACTGGGGAATGCTCGCCCCAGCATCTTGACATCAGAGGAACCAAAGCAGTGGGGACCTAACACATTTTTCCTCCTGCACTTCTCCCTGCTTCTCCCATCTACCTGAAGATACACTGTGTGGAGAGGAGAGGCAGCAAAACCAGACCTACCAAACAGCAAGACAAAGAGACATGCACCATAGTCCCGCTTGCCATCTCACAGAAGCAGAAGTGCAGCAAGAAACAGCCTAGCATCAACCTGAAGACTCCAGGAGAGCTGTGCTGCTTCCTGCCCAAAATGGTATAGGATGTCTCACGTAAGATCTTCTAAATAGTTCCCCAGAGAGCATAATTTGGTCACTTCAGTCAGACCCTTTAGAAAGCGTATTTCTTTTTACATATTGAAACAAGGCAATTAGTAAAACGAAATTATACACTAAACCACATTAAAAATCTGTACTTTACAAGGTACACTCAGATTCGTGTTAGAGCATCTTCACCCCCATTCCTTCCTCACCATGTGCTCCTGCTCTCCCTTCTGCCCCTACTACCCAGGCAGCTGCCCCACAGCACTGGGGACATTGTGGTGTCCACTGGAGAGGGCCATGACCAGCTGGGTGAGGCTGAGTCAGGAACTGTTCAAATCGATTTTGCTGCTGACTTGTGCTTATCACAGAGCCACAGCCCAAGAAAAACTCTAGAAAAAGGCCTAGGAAGCTGACAGATTAATAAGCATGGAAAAGAAAGTTAAATTAATCTGAGTTGTTAAAGAAAAATGTCCTATTTGCAGTAAAATGGCACAGTAGTAAGAATTAGTATCTCTACTATATACTGGCCCATTTCCTTTTATATGAAGATGCATACTTCTCACATCAAGTCACCAGGAAAGCTTTTACACAATTGCCTTGAAGGTACCGAGAAGTAACTCAAAAACTTAACGCTATCTGTGGAAGTGCAGCTTGTTTGCTGTGGTACAATAGGTTACATTCCATTCTAATCCTGTTCCAAAATGAAACAAAACAATTTAAGTACATTTAAAGGGGATACTGTACAGGATTTGTAGTACAAACAGAACATAATTGTTGCTGTATCCCTTGAGGTAGTTTTGGCAAGGTTTTAGCACACACGCCCCCAAGAAAGGGTCTGGAAGAATCTGAAATCTGAAGGCAGAAGAGAAAAAATGGAGCAGTTTGTTCATATCACAACACACTGAAAAAGAACAAGGCTGACAAAAAGTTTATTTCATAAACAAAGGAACTGGAACACTAGGCTCTGCACGAGACAGCCAGCCATCTCTGGTTCGTGCACCCAGCCATGGAGCCTGCTGCTGAGAACTGCCGAACGCTCCAGAAGGTGTGAGACACCTCTCGCTGGGTATTACAAGAGCATCCCTCGCCAGGACAGCTGGGGAATATTTTCTAAGGAATTAGCCTCACAGCAGTTGGCTCATCTTGAAGCGGAGCAGTTTATAATGATCTTAGGGTGTTCTTATGGTTCTATATTACACAGTACAGCCCCATGTTTCTCTTATGCAACGTTTGCCAAAACCTGCATGTAGTTACCAAATTACGGTTATTGCATTTGACAGAACCTGTGGGTCAGGAATAGGACTAATTGGAGGAGACACTGTGCACTCCTGAACGTCAGAGCCACCCTGACAGATGCTTTCAGAAACTGCTCAGGAAATCGGACACTCAAATACAAAAACCTGCTTTACAGCCCCAGTCTCTGGCACATAAAAAAAGTCTGCAGAAATTGCTGCTCCTTGTTGCCTGTACAAACTCTGTATTTGCATATATAAAATATTAAAGCATGCACATGACCATAAATAGGAATCCCACACTGAGGTACACATCAGTGAGGCTGTTCTACCCCTGCACTAACATTCACAGGGGGACAAGAAATGGTCACACTTTATGAGCACAGGCTGAACCCTGGGGAGAAGACACTGCAGGTAACAACCCCAATCCCACCATTTCTCCCAGCAGGACAGAAAGAGGTTGCAGGATCCAAATAACAGTAGATCTCTGCTACTTTTGCCATTTCCCCATATAGAAATACTGAGATATCTCTCTGCAGCTTCCAAAATCCTCTTTCTTTCTAAGCACCAGACTGTGCCAGTTTTGCCCTCAGAAGGCATGTCAGGGTTTGCCCTAAAAAGGGACAAGCTGACAAAGTACATTGGTATCACTTTCCTCTGCTGGGTAGACTGTTCCAGGGAGATGAGATGTCAGCTTCTGCATGTCAGGTTTGGGAACCAGACAAAACATCCTGAATTAAGTGATGCTCCAGGGCAGCAGCAAATCAGCTTTCTCACTAGCTTTATAGTTACTAGGTAGATTTAGCAAGGCATCCAAGTATCCATTTTTATCTTTTTTGAATTCTTTTTCGCTATCTAGTTGATCCATTTTTGCCATAGCCAATATCTCCAATACTGTCTCAAAACACTGTTTATATAAAAGTGTTTAGTATTGATTTAATTCTCTTCCCATTATTTCCTACTATGCTTACCTGTCTTCTGCAAAAGCTGAATATCAGCGTTCTATTTTTATGCTACCTTTAATGTAGGGTGGATTTCACTGAGCCTTAAGTGAGTAAAAAAAAGCCTCTCATTGACAAATCAATTCAACACTCCTGCATATACATCATAGATATCTTTTTTATTGTAGCTGATTATTTCAGTCTCAGCCTGGTCCAGGATCAACTGTTTCGCATTTCACAAATGCGAGCACTGTATATGATTCCAAACTTGTTAGCGTTCCCAGAAATATAGAAGTCTTAAACCATCTTTACGTGGTAGAGTGAAAACATTCCAGAATTTAACTCTAATCAACATTTTCTGAGGTTGGTTTCCTGTTGGTTTTTTTTTTTGTTGTTTTTTTTTCCAAAACATACCTTATTATCCTTCTAAATGACAACACATAAAGTAATTGAACTGTACTGCTGCCCTACATCTTGTTATGCTTATTTACACCAGCAAGGATACCTTCCATGTGCTCCACTTGTTTATCTCTGAATCACCCCCCAACAAGCCCCAGATTTACTGCATCATAGCCTTTGCTGACATCTCCTTTCCACATATAAACCTTGTAGCAGCCCACACTTATACAGGGTTATACAGAGTCAGTGAGTCTCTGCGATGCTACCTAAGGCAAATACCGCCCACAGAACTGATAAACAAGTTTTCTGCTATGTTAGTTGAAACAAAATTTCTTACAAATAGAGGAACCACACACAGCAATACCTCCCAGACGGAGCATCTGCTGTCTGCACGACGTGGAGCTTTGCCGTTGACCAAGAGCGGGGTAAGAGCAGGGGCAGGTACAGGCACCGTGCTGGACGGTGGATGCTGTGCTAATGACAGCGAGTTGCTCTGTCTACTGGGCGCCACTGAAAGCTACTGAAGGCAGGTGCTCCTTGCTTGGAAAGACAGGAAATCGTGCCAGTGAGGCAAAGAAGGGGAGAGCGCCAGTGTCCCTTTCACTTACATAGCGAGTACCTATTTACCAGTTTGTAATGCTGCTGCAGACATTCATTTTGCACAGAGAGTATGTAAAAGGCTTCTGCAGCATCCGATATCCATATAAGCTCTCCAACCCAGTGTAGGCAACTGCCACGTGAAGAGCACACGAGCCACAGCTCTCCACTTAGTCGGAGCCAGCTCCAAACCCATGTGAGAAGTGATGAGCACAGGCTAGGGCAGGAACAACCAACTACGTTATGCTTTGCTGCCATTCAGTCAGGTCTGCAGGATGCACAGCAAAATCCTTGTTTGCCCTGGATTTCACCTGCCTTAATACCTTTGCAAGCCTTTGTGCAATTTCCTACACACATACGCTGTCACGTTCTCAATTTATCAGACGACTAGTGATTTTCCAGGTGATGAGACAAAACTGTTGGGTAGGTTGAGTTGGATCCCTGCACCACCAGCTGATCACCCCTGGTCACAAGGACTGAAAAGGAGCCTGAGAACCCAGACTTCCAGCACTGGCATTACCTTATTGCATAGTTCTGAGCAAAGAGTGGTGGCGATGTGCTCTCCACCACTGCTGCCCTCCTACTTGACTGGGTGGCTTATTTACCTACATGACAACCTACTGCAGACTGATTAGGCAGTGCTGGCAGACTACTCTGAAGATGTAAGCAGCTGTCCAAGAGATAAATGCTACTCACAGATGTTTAAAATACCACATTTGCCTTTGTTTGCAGTGTTGTAGTATTTCTGATCCTGTTTGAAAGCACGTCATATAAAGTATTTGAAAAGCAAGTGCTCACATGAGAAACTTCCCATGTTCTTAGCAACTTCCTAAAAGTCTTGGGATCTATTTGATTGAGACAGCCATTACAAATTCTTATTTTACTCTAGTTCCTTACATTTCCATATTTCAGAGTGAATAACTCTGTTTTCTTTTAAAACCATGAGAGATAGATACCCTCAAAATTCAGACTATAGTTTTGAGATGTTGTTCACCAGAATTCTGCATTTGGAGGTGAAGGTGATGTACTTACCAACAGCCTCCTGCAATAACCAAACCGCCGGCTCCCATCTTCCCCAGTCAGCATGAAAGAGAAGGTCTCACTAGAAGAAAATAAATTGCCCACATCTTACTGTCAGAACTACAGCAGAGCTATGAGGGAGATCGGTTAGAAAGGGACAGTGCCTTATCCAGTGAGAGATTCTCCTCATTGGAGAGTCTTCTCTCCCTCTGCCCACTGTGTGGATATACTTGGTGGACAAATTCCATCAGCAGCAGAGTAAAACTACCTGTATGGTTGTGGACAACCTAGTTATCTCATTATAGGAAGAGATGGGTGCTGAATTTCAGTGACTTGGCAGTCCTCTTGTACTGCACAAGGAACATAAGAATCAGATTTTGAGAGCAGTATTCAAATCACAGAATCACAGAAGTTAGGGCTTGGAAGAGACCTCAGAAGATCATCTAGTCCAACCCTCCTGCCAGAGCCTCCCTTACTTATTAGTTAGACCGCGTCTTTGGACTGTACTTTGTTCTTAAAGAAAGAATTAGATATTCTCTGAGAGTACAGAAATAATTTTCTAATTCAGAAACAACACAGATTTCCAAAATCCAGCTCATTTTATATCTCTGTCTAGGATAAGCACCATTTCTGACAGAGGAGTAAAACAACAGTTTAAGGCTACAATTACAGCACAGGCAAAAGGATGGGTCTGTGAACTTGTGCCTAGACTGAGAAACATTCCTCACTGCTTTGCAAATTTTAAATGGCGTTAGATAAAATGCTTTTTCACTGTGCTGGAATGCCAGGCCTTATATAATTCTAGATGTAGATGCGAGGGATATCTTGTTTCAGAAACACAGGCTCTTGAAAGGTCTGTCTAGGAGAGCAGCAGCTGCAGAAGTGAAATTCTGCACAGGCATGGCCGTGTGCTTCTCCTACCAATATCGCCCACACACTTACCAGACACACTGATGCAGGGGCAGGTGGGAGAAAGATACGTTTTTTGAGGTTTCTTTTGAATGAAAAAGAAAATGCAAGCCTGGCTCTACCTTCCCTTGACCTTCCCCAAGAAGATAGAGAAGGAAGATAGGGCTTGTCTGCTGGCATAGAGCTCGACTCCAAAAAAATTCTCAGTGCAGCCTTTCTTTGAGCCAAATAAAGAGGTGTCCCTGCAATGTTAGACATTCTGGGGCAAATGACTAAGGCAGGTGATGGGCAAGGCCCTCTCCTTTTTAAGATTTATTTTAAATACTTCCATTTGTACTTTTGCAGTTAGCGCTGAGAGAAATGTTCAAACTTTTTCCCCATAGCCACACAAGCCTGCGAGGCAGGCAGAATAGGGAAGAAAAATAATACAGAAGTTAAAAAAAATTAAAAATTAAATACAGCTGCTTGAGCCTGAAGTGGCCAAGACTCAAACTGCTACTTCCTTAATTGGGCATCGGCGAGCCTGTGGCTGCTCCAGACGCACTCCATCAGCACCGCGCAGCAGAGAAGCACCAAAGGGTTTACCTGCTGTATTCGGAGACAGGGAGCCAGTCCTTGGCATCGGGAAAGCAGAACTGAGGGATGGCCTTGAGACGCTCCTCCGCCTCACGCATTTGCTTGGTTGGTCTATCTAGCTGCAGGGCAGAAAACTGAGGTTCAGTCACTGTCAGTGACAGCTTCACTGCACCTCTTCAGGGGGAGGGGGTTACTAATGAACTCTGAAGAGCAAGGACCCATCAGCTTGTTCTTTATTTGTGCTTAGCAAAGTGAGGCATGACCCCAGGACAGGCTTATAGATGCTGGTACAATAGAAATAATTGCTGCTGGGTTGTGGTTGTGAGGTTTTTTTTAATAGCCCAAATCTCCCTTGTTGCACAATGACCACTTAAAACACAGTCCTGACTCAAATTCCTTTCTGCTGCAAGAGCACAAGAGAAATGCCACAGATCAGCAGAAGTCTTTCCATCGACTTCAGTGAGTTTTGGAACAAATGCTAACACAGCCAAAAATGAGTTAAAAGTGAAATATTTAGAAACTGATTTTGAACAGTCTATAAAGCCCCTAAGATCAGGCTGAACTCTCCAGCTCTAGAAAAGATAAATTTGTAAACAGGGAAAGCTTTCAGTAACCTTCTATGTGCCCTTTGCTTTGTAACATATCACTCAGCTTTCATAATCATTGCAAAGCGATTAACTCCATTTAAAAATAGATTTCTATTAATTTTCCAGCTTATTCACTTTATTGATCTTAGATTGAACTGTACCTAACAATTTTTCTTTTACCTTGGGAAACTGATATGTCACTTCTGGGAGGTAAGTGTTTTTAGAGGGCTTCTTTTTGAGTGACACTACCACAAAATACTCAAATAACTCCCGTTCTTGCCATTCAATCAGCTCCAGTTCCAGGGTTCGATAACTTGGAGCCCTCTTCAGCATTGACTGGATGTGTACGAGACGCTGTGTATGAGCTAGCATTAAAGAAAAAAATAGACAGGAAAAAAAGAGACAGATCGTTACCTAGGTCTGTAATGTGCATGTGGAAGCCACAGCCATTCACAAAGGACTTTCAATTTGCCAGCATATTATTCCAACCATGTTCTCCTTTCCAAAGCAGACCTTCATACTGCAGCCTCCCTCATTAATTGCACCCATAAATCAAAACTCTCTCCAAGTACTGAAGTGATGCAACACAAAGTCACTGAAATAATTTGCAGTTCATAACTGTTGCCCCGCCAAAGGTCTGCTTTTTCTTCACGCATAAGACTTTATTAAAAGCCCTTATGAGTGTTCACACGCACAAGGGCCTCCAGGGTGACACATCTCAGGCCTGACTTGGACCCAGGGAAAACAGTTCTGTGACCTGTTCCTGCGTAGGATCTGAAGGTGTTTTTTCTCCTTTTCTATGGCACAGGCATAGTCCATAGAAGCCATGGACCAATCTCAAGGGAAGGGTGAAGGAAAGGAATGAGGCGCAAATTGCTTCCTGTGTCTCCTTTCATGGGCTATGAGCAAAAGCAACTCCTATATTTTGTGACACAAAGAAAAACAGAACTGAAAGTGCTTTAGGTCTGGCACCTGCCTACAGATGGGCAATAAGTCTTTTTCCACACATCACTGTACAATGTTGCATACAGCCTGGTTTGGGTGGTCTTACCACCACCTATCTGGAACAAATCTTTTTCCCTAAGGCAATTTTTTCCAGACAGTTTTCCTGCAGGAACAGTAAGCAGGTGACATCTGCAGTAGATAGACGTGAATAGTTGTCTCTTAACTTATAACCATAACTCTGCACTCTTTCGGTTTTTCCCCCTCACTTACTAACAACATGATAGGATTTTAGTAATAAAAACTGTTGTTGCTGCCTTCAACTTTTTAAAGTTCTCTCTGTGTATCAGGACTCTTGAAAATGAGGGACTAATTTACCAGCCTGGTTCAAGCAGAGTTTGTGCAGGTGCTGTGCACTGATAAAGGAATTTCTACAATCTGGAGACTACAGATCTGTAAATGAGTATAAGAATCGCTACACTGGATCAGATCCAGACTCTTGCCTCCAACAGCAGCTAGCAGCAAACACTTAAAGCAGTGTATGAATAAGAAGAGAGCATATTTATCCAATCTCATCTCTCCGAGTTTGCACCCAGTAGTCAGCCTGGAAAACATCAGCATCTGTGAAGTGGCTGACAAAGCAAATCTATCAAAGGTCCTGTTCTTCATTATGTGACACAGTTGCCAAATCCTTGTTAGATCCTCACAGCTCATTTTGTCCTTGCTTTCCACATTCATGCTCCTGTGTTGGAAACTTTGTGAGCTCTGCAGTAATAAGAGTTGGCATAGTTCAGGATGGAAAATAGAGGCCACGGACAGGAACAATGTGCAGCAGCAGAAGAATGTATGTTAAAGAAATCTGTGACAGTGACCGACTAGAAGTTATTGAAGGCTGATCCTTTACCTTTAAACCTGTCATCTGAGTCACTCTCGCTCTCGCTGTTCTCATCTGCAGAGGAGATAGAGAGATCAGTTAATGAAAAACCAAAGCAAACTAACTTAGTTTACTGTGGTGAAACTGGGAAAAATCTCTGACACTAAGCCTTGTGATCCACGCATGTTCTCTCCTCAGTTTTAAAATATCTTGAAACAAACAGTTCAAATGATCCCTTAGATCGTGTTTTCCTTGGATTAAGTTTCAATTTTGCTTTGTTTCAATGAAAGTGCAAAATTCATTCTCCATTACAGCAACTGGTTGCACTGAACCCTAATCTATGCTAAGCTACAGAGGTGAATGTGCCATTTGGAAAATGAATTTTAGTTTTTCAAACTTCATTTTTCATGGAAAAACAAGTTATGCAGCACTTGATAAGTCAAAGCAAGCCTTGTGAGCTTTGTCTCTCTGGGCAACTTTTTCAGTCACCAGAACTCACCAAACTGAGTGGAAGCAACATGCAAAAGTGATCTTTTGACCAGATGTATTTTTGAGGTGTACTCACATTAAAGTTCTATTGTGTTCCTACTACAAACATAGCTTGAAGTTTTGTGGCCCTGCTTTTCCAGAAAAAGCCTGACACACACTGTGAGTTACATTCACACGCCAGGAAAAAGTATGAATTAATCACAAGGTCAAAACTGAATTTTGGACAAAAATTCCAGATTCAAATTACTCAAAAAGTGAACTAATGAAGCAGCTGATTGTAGGATTAATAGGACAGACAATGCAGAGAAGCTCATTTGGTTTTAGCTCATCTCCATTTTCTCCTCTTACCTGAGGAGATATCAGTTACCATTTCTCATAGAAGGAAGTTCTAAACAAAGCAAAGTCCAGGGCAGATGCAGAGGACCGAAGGGAATCTGTTAATCCTGTAACACTGAAATGGCTTCACTGAACCGTGACGCTTGGTGTCCTACCTCGTAGAGACGCTGTCTCAATATTGGACATAGAAAGTTTCTTCAGTCGTTTTTTTCCTCTTTTTGCACTGTAGATGGAATTGATTCTTTGGACAAGCTGCAAAATAAGAAAATGAGGAATCAGTAAGATCGAACACTTCTGCCAGGACATTTTTAATTAACCTATCCAAACAAAGAATTTGACCACAGATGATACAGCTGAAAGCCCCAAAGCCTTCACTATTTCAAAGTGCATTTCTTATGTCTCTTATTTTGAATCTCACTCCTTTATCTATGTATATATTTTTAAAAAAATTAAATGAACCAGAAACTTAAACTGCATTTTCAAAAATTAAGAGATTGGGATTACTAAGAATTTGTAATTAAACAGAGTATTATAATTTCTGGAGAGTCCTAAAAATGGAGCAATTAACCTTCATAATGTTTTTAAGTGTCAGAAGTAGTGTATTTGATTCCACAGCAGCCAAACTCTCTAAGTTTTACTCGAAATCAAGCAGTAAGCTGCTCTGCAAGTTAGAGTAACTTCCTTCACAGACATATGCTCATTTGTGTAGTAAAATAGTACGTTACAAGAAAGTAAAAAAAATAGAAAATATTAAGGATACAGGATTAATATTCTCCTTTTTGTTCATTTCTTGCTTAGACAGAATTTCAGATTAATTGACAAGAACATAAAAATCTCCCTTTACTCACAGTATTTATAGCCATGTACTTTAAATATGTTCTCTAATAAGAACAGGAAAGAACTGAATACGCAGTAAATTCAGCTTTGGTCACAAGCCAAAAATACACACACACACACACGTACATATTAGCGGTTCTCCCCCTTCCTGTTACTATTGTACTAAAAACGGCTCTTTGGGTTATTTTGTTGTTACTTGGTGGCCTGGGCATTTTCACAGCCCGTTTTGAATTGGAAAACTCCTTGAAAATTGGAAAATGATTTTCTACTTCAAATCCATCAAGACAACAGCATTATCAGGATGGGGCAGGTTGTGAATAAATAAAGGGAAATATTAGGCCTATAATAGTTATTTTCCTGAGACCAGTAAACAAATGGTGAGAAAAAAAATCCTCTTCAGATGCTGCTGCATGTTATAAATAATAATTGCTTGGCCACTGCCCATTCAAAATCATAAAGTTAGGTACACAACAATGCTCTGGCCCACAGAGCTTAAAGAAAAGCATAGACAACAGAATTCACTTAAAAACAACTCCGTGCAAAGATGGCAAACAGATGCTTGCCACTCTTGGACCAGGGCAGATTTACCCACTTCTAATGAAGGGATTTTCACAGTACATCTGTACGTAAAAAAGGAGTATGTCTTGGCTCCTGAGAGTTACAGTTTCTGGTTCGATCTCAATTTTCGTTTAGGATATAAAACGAGCTTTCAGTGATGGCTAGAGGCTGGATGGAAATTTGAAAGCTCTTGCAGACAGGTGACTTATCCTCAGCATAAGTCCAATCACCCTGCCAGTACCTTTGGGATCCTCCTGGCCCGACGCGTAGACAGCAGCTCGCTTGTGGTACTCAGGCTATCCTCATTGAGGCTGGAAGGGGAGGAGGGAAGGCCGAGCTGAGCCAGCAGCAGCATGTCATCGTGGCTGTGCCGCTTGGGCAGTCGTGGTAAGCGGTGGCTCTTCCTTTCTGACCAGTTCCCGATGCGCAGAGACTGGCTGCTGGGCTTCGAAGGGAGCTGCGGGAACAAGAACAGCCTGAGCTCCACGACACTTAGTGCAGAATCAGCAATTTGTGAGCGAGTGGTGGCTACACAAGGTGAGCCAGCTGAGCCACTGCTTGGTGGGACATGTGCCGAGAGAGGGTTTAAGGTCAAAATGAAGGGCCAGGAGTCAATATCTAAGACTTCAGAATTCAATGAAAACAATAGTACTTTTGGCTTTAGTGCATTTCCATGCACCCACATCACACCAACCCTACGAGCCTTCAAACCTAACTTAAAGGCTTGGCTGACGTCAGAACACTGACCCGATGGGCTCTTTCACTTGCAGTAGTGAAAATCAAAAGCAATTATGTTGAAGTTGTTATTTTAACCTAGAAAAGAAAGTAGAAAATAAGCTTGGTGTATTTTCATGGTGTTAAGATGTTCTAAGATCTGTCAACATGCAGAGACATAGTTACAGCTTTGTCTTGCATTTCCAAAGAACTCTCTTCAAAATCTCACTGATAGGATTCAGCAGCTAATAATAGTTGTCTTTAAAAACCTGGGGCTCTTCTGGAGATGTCCTTTGAGCAGCCTCGCCCAGCTCTCAGGAAGGTTAATCGGCAGGCTGGCAAGGCCAGGTGCCTGCCTTCTCCTCCCAAACACAAACACTGTAAGAAGCTTAAGCAGCATGCCCAGGAAAAAAAAAAAAGTATTATTATGTCAAGCAACTATCAGTTGGCATTTACTAATGTTCTATTAGTAGTATTATGAGCTATAAACCTTCAGCAACAAATGTCCCATTTCCTCTCCTTGGAGGGGGTACCTATTAGGGTGCCGTACCACCTGGGATTAAGCATAGATGTTGTCACATGTGTGGGTTTTGCATAACAAATATAATGTCATCAATAAAATATTCTTTTTATATCTGATGACTTCAAAAACTGAAAATAACAAATGGGAAAGGAGAAGACACAGTGAGATTCAAAATGACCACAAGCCAGTGTTCCTGAGGTCTCTGCTTACCACAGGTTCGCATGCCAGGAAAATCTGCAGCAGTCTATACTTTAATGAAAGAAATTCTTTTGAGAGATGATTGTTGAAAGGCTGATGACCTTTTGATCTCTTCCATCTTGTTTATCATCATCCATGACTGAAAAGTCACGTTGCTAACCTGGCTATGTTGCTATGATGGAAAAACTCGGTGATAAATCATTGCCAAAGTTGCCATTCTCCAGGAAAATGAGACTTTTCTATTTCTGGTCACCGGAGAATCACCCAGGCCCATAGCTGACCTGCTCCTAGTGTCTCTTTGCTTTAAATATCAGCATAATGATGGCAGGACTGACTCCTGGCAGGAAACTCCTGGCAGCGTTTCAAAAAGAATATAGTCCTGTTGCAGAGATACCACAGAGTGCTTATTTACCAAGTAACTTCACAGAAGTCATTTTAATCTGTATGTTCTTTGTCACTCTGTGTAAAGTAGAGAAGAGTGGACAGGATCTTACTATGCAACAACATGGTTCTTACCCAGATGCTACACAATGCCTGTTAACATACACACACACACAGAGCTAAAAAGAGTTGTTATGCACAGTATGTCTCTCACTACAAGGTTATCTTTTTGGCTGCAGTTTCTGTTTCTCCTTACTCTGACTGAAGATTACTTTCCACTTGTTCCCTTTTCAGTAGTTTTGCTGAAAACACTCCTGTTTTACAAAAGCTGTGCTGGGTGCATACTAAGAATCCTAGTGTATTTCTTTTCTCTCTTGTACTGTGATGTACACAAAATAAGTGAAAGAAAACACATTCAGTTTTGTTCTAGGTCTCTTTACAAGACAAATGTAAATTGTTGTGACTGTTTGTTCAACTGAAATTTTTCTGTTGATTCAGTGCAAAATAAAATTTCTTTTAAAGGCATTTTGAATCTCACAGTTAAGTATGTGATGAAATTTATATTTTTCCTTACAAACACAATGTTCCCATAAACAACAAAGCAACTTGGCATTTCATACACAAAAAAAGACTGCTTTGGAAAATTCACCATAAAATGGAAAGTCTGCAGAGCTCCTAGTCTTTTACTTTGTGCTGTAAACACAACTTATACAGCCTTGTTAAATGCACACTCTCAGGTTTTTCTGATTATTTTATTATTCATTTATTTGGGGGGGGGGCATACTTGGCCTACTCCATTTTACAACAGAACATACCACGCACGTGAATCAGACTTCACACGAGCAAAGTCACAACAGTCACAATTCACGGGCAAGATTAAGCAGATGCCTTTTTCCCTCCTGTCCCTACCAAAAGCCCAGCAGCAAACACGGAGACAATTCACAAAGAGGTGCAGCCACACAAAGGATTTAGGGCCGGATTCAGCTTGAAAACTGCCAGTGGACAGATTCTGCTCAACCTCATCAGGCCAGGCCAGCACAAAGAGCCGTGGGCTTCTGCAGCGCGGCGCCCAGAAGCGGAGCTCCCGCTGCCAGGAGCGTTCCCCGCAGCCATTCATGCACTTGATCCCACTCTTTCACGGGACACCCTTTCTCGTTCCGTACAGCTGCTCTTCCTCCTATGCCACGGCTGATTTTCTTGCATAAGTTTTAAAGAAGCTTCAAGCACCGAAAGGCAGGCGCCGTCACGCCGTTACCTGGGGAGGTGACGTGTATTTCCTGTCCTGCGGCGTCCACATCCTGTGCAAAGAATCCAGGGAATTCTCCGAGAGCTGATGGGATTTTCGGCCCGCGTGACGGCCTTTCAGCTCCACATCCTCGTACGGGTTTTCCTTGGGTGACTCGCCTTCAAAGTTTTGGGTTTTTGTTGGTTTGGGTTTTTTTAAGAAAAGAAAAACAGACAGGAATGTAAAGTTATAAAAAAAAGTAAGAAGCATGTGAACCAAGCGAAAGGCTTTTCTAAAAGCTCCTCAGCTTTCAGCATGACTCATCTCTCTAGCCGCAGCTGGAAGTATTTGGAATAGAACTTGGCTAGGAGGTCAACAAGTTTCTTCGGGTTTTTTTTAACTGCCTTTTTTTTTTTTAAATAAAATGCAAGGCTTTCACAAGATGTGCTTCAGAGCATCCGCAGCTGTGGAAAAATTTATTGATACATAAAAGCTAAAGCACATAACTGCTTTAAAATGTATCAGTAGATTTTACAAATCTATAGCAGCCACTCGCAGGGTGAAATGAATAGCAATAAATAACTCTTCTCAACATACCACCGTTACACAAAACAACTTTTATTTGATGCTACCTTCATTTTTATCTTCCTCGGAGAGAAGGCAAAGAAAGAATAAACACTTCAGCTCAGCAGTGCCAAGACAGAAGATTGGAAATGTGAAAGATGAGGGAAGAATTACTTCCCCGACCATAGTGCATCTCGTTCTTTAAAACACATCATGCCTTCTATTTAAGCAGCCATTCAATTCAATTTATGTAACATTAGTATCTCTCAGAAGGAAACTCATCCTGCCAGTAATATATAGAGGCTTGACCAGTTAATCACTAAATATGACATAAATGAAAAATCCATCAAAAATCAGACTGCAACATCTGAATTTTTAGCATTTGAAAACCAAAACTTATAGTCCAGATTCAAGTGACATTCAGTGCCCTTTGGCAGCCTAAGGACCAGTGGAATAACCCACCGTCTTCTCAAACTCCCGAACTCACTAAGCCTCTCTCTGAACTAAGAAGCACGAAGATGAATGAGTAAAATGAACGTTTTGAATCCATTTCTTCAGACAGTTTATAATCAGCAACTGGTTTAGAATTTCAGCTTTTTCAGACCAGGTTTCCAATCATCTTACACAGAAAATCACCCCTAAAAATTGATCTACCCAAATTCAAGACCTGAATTTGCAGAAGCTTGAAACGATCAGGAGGTACAAAACTTTTGAACCAACTTGCTTTTTTTTTTTTTACATCTAAAGATGACTCAAATTCCTGTTTCATGAACAATAAATATTGCCATACAAGCCATTAAATATAAGAAATTCAGATTTTACTACATGTTGTAGCAATTAAGAATTGAGGATGAAAAGCTTTAGCATGGTTTATTATTAACACTGTTACAGAAAATACTGCTTTTACATAGATGAGAGTCGAGGCATGGGTGACAGCAAGGCCTAGAGTAATATGCTGTTTCCTTGACTACCTTTTTTTGTTCTAGGCCAAATATTATATTTCTTTTATTGTACAAAAAAAAATAAAAGCAGTTTGTGCTTTTTACTTTATTGTTAAGTCTGGAAGCATGAGACTGCTTGATGCATCGATTATAGCAATAAAACACTTTTGCTTCGCAAGTTCACATATTTCACAATACAACTAAAAATATAGTTTTGCTTCATTAGTGCATTATACTAAGATTTCTAGTCAAATATAAACACAAGAGTGAATATTTTAGCTTTGTTTTAATTAGAAGCTGGAATAACTGCTGCTGTTGAAGAATGTTTGAATTGGCAATCACAGCTTATTATTTCATCCAGAGGGAATTTGACACTAGAAGCTGCGCTATTATCATAGTCAATCCACACACCCCATGGAAAGAACACCTTCAGGTGCATGGGGTACTTAGACAAAAAGACCTTTTGATGAATGCAATGAACAGGAAAAATCTTAAGCAACAAATGCTCCTAAAAAAAAAAATAAATCAAAGCTACAAATGTCCTGGGAGGACTATGGAATGGATTGATTCCTTCTGTGGGAAGAAAAATAAATAGATACTGCACACTAATTCCGTTACTTGTAAACTCTAGAGCCCTAGATATGATAATCATAACAACAATAAAACTTTACAAAACGCTGTTACTTACTTACAGCTAATTGGACTGTATTAGCATAATAAAATTTCTTGTAAGCCCAAGTCAAGTATGGGTCAAGCAAGCATTTTAGAATGGATTAACAGATTTCAAAATACCCAGCTACATGAGACAGTGCTTAAACATATGCTTCCTTGTGAAAACAAATGTTATTACGTTAGTCTACATAGTATCCAAACTCCTGAGAAGAAATAAGCCCATCAGCTGAAAACAAGATCTTCTTCTTTTTTTTTTTTTTTGAATGTGAAGTATTTCAAAGTTTTGGGGTGATTCTCTTTCCAGGACACAGTGTAAAACAGAACTGCATGAACCCAGTTAAATCAACATTACTAATGCTGACCTAAAATATTAAGTACAGAAATAGGCAGGCCCAAAGAAGTCTTGGATGAGAGAAGAGGGAGGAGCAAGGAACCATGAGCAGAGGCTGCTTTTCTGACTCAGATTCTCTACCAAAAGAACACTTGGGCCAAATTCCTCTTCAGTGTAATGTGAAGGTCAGTGGAGATACCACAGGGATTTTAACCCCTTCCCTAGGGCTGTGAGAGCTTCTTCAGTGAAGATGACCGGCTTGCTGTTCAAGAACGCTTGTTTCTTTTAATTTTCTCATTTCCTTAAAATTATTTTAGGGTGATTTTTTTTTTTTATTTTGAAACGGTGCCTTGAGACCAAATATGCCTATTCTTTGTTTTAAAAGAATAACCTTCTCCCACACCAAATCTCTGATAATCAAATAGTCTGATCAATCCAAAACAACCTGGTTTTGCTGATTTGCATTTGAACTAAGTATTTGGTTCAGCCAGGAAACTAAAGGAGATGATTTATTTGTCGAGGTCTTGAGCAATTTTCAAACCTTAGACAACCACCACTTTTTAGCACATATATGCTTTCACCAGCAGATGGGACACAAAAGACCAGATATACAAAAATAGGATTAGGCAGCCCAGATCGACTGGGTTCTGTAGAAGTGACAAGAAACTCAGGATGTCAAGTAAGCTAAAAAGATATATGAGGATACCCTGAACTGGCTCAGAGCAGCATTTAACCCCATCTCACTGCACAGTGACTCCCTTCCATGTGAGAAAGATCTGTGAACTGGTGGCCACCAGCACACACTGGAGGGAGGTTCTGGGGAAGAGCAGCGGTGGTAGCCACAGCTGCAGCCCCCAAATGACGAAAATTTCCATATAGCTGGGCTGGCTCAGAGGTTTGCAGCTTTGATCTCTGCATTTCTCCTCAACACCATCACTTTAGTCCCAAGACACAGGCAAGGAATGTTCACAATCTGCAAGACGCAGTGCTTTAGTATTCGTTCAGATTCGCTGCAAAAGGAAAACACATTTTCAGTGAAAGAGCAAGGAAACATCCTTGTTGCTTCCATATGGATCTCTCTGTCAGAAGCCACAAGGAGAAACACTATGCAGTACAGAGGCCAGGCTTGTCTTTATGAGGCTGATCCAACTGCCACACAGGACAACAGCAGACCAATCCACTTCAAAGGAAGCTGGATCAGACCCCCAGAATGCATATGGTCACATGAAATAGCAAGCCTTTGGCAAATACAGTCTCTAATCACCATCCCAGCTTCCAGATCAGTTCCCTTTATAAGCATTTTTGTCAAGTTTTGCATTCTCTTGAATTCTACGTACCGAACTGCTGAGTTAACACAGGACATTTATCTACACGACATTTATCTTCAGAAGATCTCACAGACAATTTAACGACTGGTCCACGTGGGAAAGGGAAAAAGCACAAACAAAAAAATCCAACAAAAATGATAAAATAACCAGTGATCTTCAGAAAAGTCCCGAAGAATGCAGTGCCTTGAGCTTAAGCATCGATGAGTTTGCTCCAGCAGTTGCAGTTCCTCACTCGGTGATGCTCTGCGAGTCAGACCCCGAGTCCCGAGGCAGCACACAGTGTTCCTCTGCTCAGCCTCTCCCACGTGGCAAATGGGAAGCAGAGGCAGACTCAGAAAGCCCATCTCACGCTGAGAAAGGAGTGAAAAGTAAGGCTGAGGGTGGGAGGGAAAAGCAGTCAGACATTTCTCTATAAATGGCAGAAAGCAGGGAAATGCATCATTTCTTCCTAGACAGGAGAAATAATGATCAGAGGAATGAAGTGATGATTCTCTGAGTGCTGATTATAACTCCTGCCTTTTGCACAGCCAGGAATCGAGAAAAATTGACCTGCAGGTACACAGTGAGGGAGAAGGCTGATCAGTTTGTGTTAACTTTGATGCCTAAATTAGGAGCTAGTCTGGAGACAGTATCTCCAGAGAGTGATGCTGAATGCCCAGGCTAAGAGCCCACCACCTTCCCTGCTGCCTACACAGACAGCCCAGGCCCCGGAGCTGTACAGCCAAGTTTGACAGAGTTAGCCCCTCACAAATGACAAAGTGTAGATTTCTCATGTTCTAGAGCATGTGCACATGCACATAGGCCAATTAACATTTTTTACATTACAATAAACTGTGAGATGAAAGCTTCAGCTGCCATCCCAGATGAGACTTGGGAAAAAGCAGCACATACCTCTGAAGGCAAGGAACTGGAAATAGTGGCAATAAATGGGAAGAAAAATGGACTCAGATGGGCAGAAGCAGGACTGAATAACAGACAAGCAGAAACACTCAAGTGAGCTGTCTGTAAGAACCTCTGACACTTGCAGCATCTATCCTCTCAACTTCTTGCAGTGTTCACGTAACAACAGACACAAGGTGCAACATCAACCCCTTTCCACACATAGTCCCTCTGATGACATCTACAAATGCTTGCCCTCTGCCCATGACCTCTCTTCAGTTGTAGATAGAGCCCAAGTCATCCAGCTCATGCACATTTGGTGCACACAGAACCCTACAGAAGATTAAGATAAAATGCAACTGGGTGAGGAAGACGCAAGCAGAGAAGGGTGGCTGGGGAACTCTTGCTTCTGCGGCCTTTGGAGAGCAAGCAACAGGAATGAACCTCTGACTGCAAGCACTGCC